AGGAACCCGACAACCGGTTTTGTTTTAATGAAATCGAGTCGCGAACGAAGCTGCTAATAGAGTTTATACCGGCACGCAACTAGCGGGTAACGAGGACTTAGTATGCGAGCCGAGGACAATGGAAAGCGTTTAAATTAAAGGGAACGTGTAAATTCCGACTGGGACCGGTGAAAAGCCGCGTCGAGAATACGAAAATATGCATGAGACATGAACACCACAGACTTACACTTATCGATGATCTGTTACGAATGGAACGTTTAATTGACTGATGCGAAATGAAAATTGACACACGATGAGTTAATATTAGATTATCCAATAAGTTAATGCCATTTATGGACAAGTACACAGCGTCAATCACATTTTCTTTAAATATCAGCGAACGATTGATTTGAATCATTTCAAATCTCAAAGCTTCTCTCGAACTACTAATTTTTTGACCCCATTCGGAAGATCACGAATTTTGACTATATGTGCCTGAGACAAACATAAGAAACGCGATTGATCTTCGAGATGAAAGTTTCTTCTAAAAAATGAACCAACTGTACAAGACACTAAATTGATTTCTTCACAAGTTTGAGTATTTTTAAGTGTTCTACTTATTGTTATATATTTATACTTTAAATTTAAATATCCACTTGCTTATATCTCGTATTTCTCTTAAACCTGTGTCTAAATGTTTTGGCACAAGAATGATTCCAAAGTTTTTCCAGGTTCTGGTTTCTAAAATCTTCCATCTAAGTGAAATATTTGGAAAATTACTATTAAAATCCAAATTGTTCGTTATTTTATTTAATTAAAAGAGAAGATTTTTATTAATTGAAGGAGAAGATTATTTAGTCTTAATACACAAAAAATGATTTTTTCTATATTATTTTAAAAATGAAAGCAGCTTAGAATGGCACATTATTCCAAATGATAATTCTTTGTTTTCGTTTCAAATAAAGTTCTCACAGGTCTGATTATTACCAAGAAGATATCCATGCGTTGTAGTGTTTCAGTATAGTAAAATGTAACTGTATAGTAAAACATATTCTACTATGTGAATTCTGTTTGCTTTTGAATAAGACGTTAGTACGAAGACGGGCGTGAATTTTGAAACCTCTTTGGCGTTTCTAAGTGCAGCGCGAACACGCAGAAACAGAATACGTAAATAAGGTCTCCGGAGAAGGCGTACGGTTGTGTAGTATGAAGTTTGAATCATTTTTACGTGCAAATACGATAACTGATTTTTCTCGTGAAAACTCAAATCATTCAATTTCATCTATTTTGCAAGATAAACAGGGAGATACACGCGTTTCCATTTGTAAACCAGAGTAGAAGAATTTTGTTTGTTTTACTTCGAGAAAAATTGAATCGGTAACGAAAAAATCAGAAATTAAAATACATTTGCAATCTTCCGGCGAAGGTTCGCGAGTATCGAATCAATTTCGAAAAATCAACATTACCAGATGATTTTCATTGTCTGTTTTAAAAGTAAACTTCGTGTATGTCCTGTCGGATCTCAATTAAATAATCTAAAATATAATTTTTATTTCAATGGAAAAATATAGTACCTCTGATTCTGCTTACAATTGCGAAATATGATATTCGAAAGAGATGGGACGAAAGTTATGAGAAATATAAATTTTCGACGTAAGGTGATAGATGCAATAACAAAATAATTGCGTATTAATCGGGAATTCTTTGATAAAATGTTCAGAAATCAGTAAAATATAAAATAATAAACGATTCGCGTAGTTGCAATTCCCCTCTTTCTCTATTGAAAATTGCACGATAAAACTGCGGAAGAAAGGTTTTTATGATATAAGCCACTTGGATTACAGTGCATCGGATAAGCTTACATTGTTTGAGCGTTCGTTCTTATTATTTCGAAAATCTGGCCAATGGATAATACGTGCATAACGAAAGAGCGCAATTAAAAAGCGAATGTTCTTATAAGATGAAGTCCGAGTGATCGATAATCGTCGCAGGATATCTATTCTGTCGTTGTGTAACGCGGAACTTACGGTATACTCTCGCATTATCGATTAACAGACCTCCTTTTTAATGGACTTTGATATTACTTCGAGTATAGCGATGTTAGCGATATTATGTATAACATAATTTTATATTTTTAAAACTTAGTCACGGCATTTCATAGCTATAATAATAACAATATTTAACGTACGATGGACATATAAGTTTCCGTGACTCTGTACATCCTTCTAGACTATTTGTTACTGATATTAGTATTGCAAATTCCATTATATTTTCTTTATAACGTCTATCGTATATTATCAACATTTTTATGATTTATATAAATTGGATATTAACGAACACACGGTTTCGTTAAATGTAATAGAATGTTTCTAAATTGCCAGCTTATGGACCACGAGAACGTGGTATGATCAGTGAATGTTACAAACCTATTACATCGAAAAATAAAATCGACGTAACTGTTATCTCAAATTACAACAACATAATTGAATTTTATGTATTAACTTTGTGATTATAAATATAAAAATAGAAATTTTCGATACCTATCGAGAGATACATTTCTACGATTAAATAATTATATTTTGTTTCGACATATCGAGCGTTTGGGGGTATTATTCGTTAAAAAATATAAGCCAATCGATGAATTTTTTACCCCGAAAGTACTTCATATTTCGTAGAAAAGCAATGAAATTTTCTTACGATACGATTTAATTGGCGGGCTACGTGTTCGTTTCGTCGGTCGTTTGAACTAGCGACAGGTTTGAATTAAATTTTTCGAGTGTGCATGAACGATTCGTGATGGAAAGGCCTTTATTGCATTACACGAAACAATTTCCCACCGTATTGGGGACGCGCTCGCATAAATAGCGAAATTGTACGGATTACAGACGAACGCAATCGCGTTTGATTAAAATCCCGGACGGACTGCACACGGGATTGGTGTGCTTTTTTCGATTGCAGCTCCAATTTCGCGCCGAACACATTGTTTTTCGTTCTCGTTATTACCGTAGGCGCTTCCTTGCCAGAGCACACACCACCGATGACAGTGTGTAAACGCGGCCACGCGTTTCTCGTTGCGTTACAAATCCGTTGCCTCGTGTAAATAAACTTTTCGAAGGCGTGGGATTATATGCAACAGACTGCTGGATGGGTAAACAGAGAGAAATCCTGATCCTGAAGCATCAAAAGTATAATACTTGTCATTCTATTTAGAGGACGAAACAAATCCTTGTATTCCGCCTTCTGAATTATCCTCGTAAACATGAACGCGTTTATGAACTTTTATAAAGCCGCAATTTCACTATCGCGTGACAATTTCGAAAAGTAAGCTTTTCAATGAGATTGTTAGAATTTAATCTCGAAATTAAGATTAATAATCTGTGGAAGACACAATGTTTATGTTGAAGTAATATTGTGTGATATTTATTAATGTTGAGATTATTCGATGTGTAAACAGAGAAAACTCGTGGATAAATTGTAAGGCAAAAAATATATTTAAATAGAAGTGTAATTATAAGTAAGAATACAATTTCAGCTGGTCCAAATCCACACGTTAGCTGTGTTACCCAATAACTGAGAACTCCGAAGCCAACGTCGCCTGTCTACTGTTTATGGTCTGACTTCGTCGCAGTCTTTTGTCTACACGCTGTCGATGGCTTCGGTGCTTGAGAAAACTAAAAAGACCAGATGTAGAGTTTTCTTAGAAGTGGTGACCACTTGAACAATTTAAAAAAATTACAGGAAATATAAGTGAGTGTTGTGGAATGTTGACAGTTGGCTAGTTATTCTCAGACTGACTGACTTAGTGACCCATGACCCTTGAAGAGTTTTTGAACCCCACTCCCTATGCAGTAATGAGTGTGACCTGTGTAGATGCTGTGTGGCGGCACGTGCCACGAAACCTTCCAGCAGCTTCGCGATACAAAGCGCAACGCCGTGAAAGCGCGACACCGACGTGCCCAATGTGCCATCCATATCATTACGCTTCTTCCGCCGAATTCTCGGAAGAGCATGCACGCGCCAGCCGCCGCGGTACATTTCACGAACACACGCTAGTGAGGATATTGCTGGGCAACGAAGGGAAAAATCCTTTCGATCAATCACCTCGTCTGCATGCGATTAATATCGTTGTATTCCAACAGAGATGTTCATACAACAATTCTGAGAAATATCGTATAACAAAGCACGAATATTAACGTATAATGGAATTTCGTATAAAATGTCGAGCCAATTTGGTTTTAATTGGCAAGGCCATTGAAACGGAATCCGACGCGCGGAAACTTTTTCATTCGATCGAACGAACGAACGATGAAAATTTCATGGAAAATTCGGCAAGAAAGGTATACGCCGCGTTTCAGTTTGATTAATGGCGATATTATGAGACAAATATGTGCCTCGAAGAAACTTATTTGCAGAGCACCGCAGGGAAAGTGAAAAGAGAGCAACGCGGCACGCTATATCGGTGTTTTTTCTCGTGCTTGCAGCCACTATATCCGCGCGTCTATTTACATAATGTATTTACACAATACCGGCCATGATATATATCGTTCCACGATACATTATTTCGCCGTCACTTTGGAAGAACTTAAAACTGACGCCTGTGAAATATTTCAGATATTAAACGCTTTCAGCGTAAATAACGAGTGGCGTGAATAACGACTATATAGACCTAATGTAACGTTTAACTCCTTAACGCATAAAGCTTTCTTCTATTTACCAGCGACAATGATTAATTTCCGTTTTTCTAATTAAAAGCACATATGGCTATAGATATAAAGATATAACATGTCTTTCTTTTTACAAAATATGAACAGGTAGTCAGAAAATCTTAACTGCATTTTTGCAACATATTTTTACTCTTATATATTTCTGATATATTTCCTTGATTTTGTTTCTTGACGTAATTTTTCAAGAAACAACTCTACTAATCTGAATATTTAGCTGACAAACATCTTGGGACGAAATTATTTTAGTAAATACATTGGAACTTTGTATAAAAATATTAATTTATTATTTCTCTTTGTTAACAAAGTAATAACAATTCGGTGAAACGCGAAGCAACGACAATCGCAGTTTTTCAATCATCAATTCACAACAATACAGTATAACAAACATACAGTTTTAATTGTAAGCTAGAAACAGAACAACGAAATTCTTCGAACAAAAGTATCCAGAACCGTCATTCAACTCAGAGCGTTACGTCTTTTAACCTTTGTGTCCTTTGCTGTATCCGTATTTCTTCCCAGAATGCTGGTCACCCTTCTTTCCATAAGAATCATGATGGCTATAATGTTCATCGTGTCCTTGTTTCCCATGATGACCTTTATGTTCCTCGTCCAGGTGACCCTTATCATGATGACCCTTCTTACCATGATGATCCTCGTGATACCCAGCATGCTGATGACCACCTTTCTTATGCTCTCCTTCCTTCTTCTCATGGTGTCCATAAAAGTCACCGTGCTTCTTATGATGGCCACCCTTATGATAATCATCGTAAAACTTATGTTCTTTATGATATTCGTCCTTGTGAAACTTGTTATGATACCCTTTCGTCTTGTGACCTTTCTTGTGACCCTTTTTCTCTCCAAACTTTCCACCCTTGTGTCCTTTCTCACCCTCGTGATGTTCTCCGTATTTCTCGTGTTCATCATGGTGTCCTTTCTTCTGGCCACCGTGCTCTTCGTGATGACCGGAATGATGATGTTTATCGTGCTCACCTTTGTCACTCTTATCGTGATGATGATGACTCTTGTATCCCTTCTCACCTTCCTCGCCATGTTCTTCGTGATGATCAGCGTGATGACTCTGTCCTCCTCCAGACTCGTGATGATGACCTTGATGGCCAGAGGCAGCCGTGGCGAGATCCTGCTTCGATTCGTCCACGTTTAAGCTTGGAACTGGACTGACAGAGACTACCGATCGTAACGCGTCGCTGTCTTCCGTTTGGACATCTCGACGATCGCGAATGGAGCTCAATTCCCGAGCGAGACATGTCTGTTGAAGCAAGAATAGCAGAATAGCGGCAGGAAACGCGACACGCAGCATCTCGATCCGGTTTCGATGCGACCATCCGACTGATGACCACGTCGCAACCGGTGACACTTAAATATCCACGGTTCGATTGTTCCGTCACGGGGCTTGCGAGCATTTCCGCCGATTCCACTTTCATCCGCGCGACCGCAAGGCTTCCGTGGCGTGGAGACCTTTCACACTTTCTCGAGCTCGTAATGAAATTGTTTGCCCGTTGTCTTTTCAGATTCGCAGGTAAAAACGTGCATAGTTAATTCAGAGACATGACGTAATGGCGGTACGCTATCGAAGACATTTTTTCAATGGAGACCGGAAGACCGATCGAAGAACGATAAATTTGGTTACATTTGTAAATCGATATTTGACGCTTTTACCGTGTACAGTGTTTTGTGAACAAACGCTTCGGCAATCGTGCAATTCGAGTCACCTAGTGCGTGACCAGACTAAATGTCTAAAAACTTCGTAGAGACTACAGGTTTCTAAGCACAATGAAATCATGAATCTTATTGCATTGTGCAACTACTATCATTACTTTGTAGTAACGTGATTGCACATAGTGAATGGAATTCGATCGATGGCCTGCATCTATCGAATACTGTTCAACTTAAGATATTCGACGCTATCCTGATCTTAAATCGGCATCAATAATTTTAACGATTTTAATTCTTCAACTAAAGTTTCAAGATTTCAGTTGATATTTAGGAATGAAAGATGTCAATTGTAATATTCGGTCTTCTCGGGAAAATGTGCGAGAATGTTCGTTTCGTCTAAAGAAAGACGTTCCAATCTTTCGAACGAGACTGTAGATTAATATTTTATCAAACACTTTTCGAGCCCTCGACGTAATATCATGACAATAATAATAAATCAAAGACAATAAAATAATTATTTCGATATGGTATCGTCACGGTGAAACGGATCGTCGATAAGTTTTCTAATATCGCCATTAATCCTATCGTTGGCGATGCGAATTTGTGGCTAAAAAAATTCACAAAGTCCGCTTTATTTATAACGCGACGGAGCGAAAACAATTTATGGACATTTACAGACGTCGGCGACGCATATATCACAGCTCGATGACCAATCGTAGTTGCGCCGATCGTTCTGCTAACTGTTCGCCCATTTGTTCCAGGTTCTGCTGACGATTCAGTCGCACGACCTTGCAAAATCTCTGCAGCCAACAAAGACGACTCGATATCTTTTACGATATTAGCTTCGAGCCGAATTGTGTATACGTAGGTATATCCTCGTAACCTGAAAACATCTGGAACTCGGAAGAATCCTTGGTACGTCGTTCTAGTCGATCGATTGGCAAACTTGTTGTTCGAATGCGCGGAATTTCGTTGGCTTTATTCAGTTTCAGAATTTCTAGGTTACAAAGTTCAACGAAGTTCCGTCGAATTGCTAGTCACCAAGTCAAGAAAACTTCATACCATGTTGCATAATTTTGTAATGTATTCGTTTCCTAGGTCTTACAAGGTGAGCGTAAAATAGGTAAAGTGAAAGGTATAATGCAGTTTCGGATCTGAGTACGTTTGCGAATACTGTGAAAATTTGATAAATCCAAACTGCAGTTAAAAATTGATGTATCGTATTCTAAAACGGAGAAAACGGTAAGAAAAAAGTTTGAAGTATTTCTGAAACTTTTAAGCTCCAAACGAGAAGGAAACTTTGCAACAAAATAAATTGACCGAATAACCTGCAATTGGATCAATCTCTTAATTGACTATCGATCAGATAATGATCACTTCTTTCTCTAACGAATCTTATTGAATTTTCATTGTACGCTATCCGTTCACGGTTTTTAAAATTCACCACGAAGTGTCGAGAATAATCAGACGGTTGGTTGGTTTTTCGTCGCGAACGATACAAAGTCGAGTTTCTTTTCTTAGCTGCTTATTCGGTGGACGGGGACGCATCGTCGGTCGTTCTCGGTGCTTCTCCGATCTCCATTGCAAATCAGCTGCGCCGAATTTGCAGTTTGAAACGGTGATCGATAGATTCGGCCTCTTTACGACCTTATTTGGCAGGCTGTTCGGCTAGAGATTGGCTCCTCCGGCGTTGGCGCTGCATAATCAAGATAAAGATTGGTTACTGCCCAGCTTCACCATCGGGCTCCTTTAGAGACTGCGAGAAAACCGGATACCGAAGGCTCTGCCAACTTCGATTTGGACTCGGCATCGTCGTAACGGAGATTAGATTAGGTGGCGTTCCCTTTGGACTTTCCCAGATGGAGAGATTGCTTTGTAAGCAGATCCAAGGACGACGGTGGATCGCCGCTCAAGTGTATCCACCCCCTTCGTTTGGAAAAGAACAGGCCGCCGACTATTAAATTAAGGCTTCAAGTGCCGCTGGTAACTCGAAAACATTTCAACTGAGTGCCGCTGCTTCTACTGCCATTGCCTTTCAGACAGCTCAGATCTTCTTTCATCTTTCTTTTTTCCTTTCTCCTCTTTGCTAAGCGTCGTATAAAGGCTGATCTTACCTTCAATTCGTTAATTCTTTTATACTTTTTGCTAATATGCAAGAAAATTTATTAACATTATTAATTCGTAAATTTATTACTTTTGTAAAATTATTTTTAATTTTCGATTAAAATCAGGAAATATTTCTCATCGATGAATTTTATTCGGCCAGAAAATCCTTCTTCCGACAGAAAAAGAAATGACTTTTCTAACAGGAGAAGGCAATAGTTTGCAATGACATTGTCTTTAATTCTCTTTTCTATAGATTCGCTTAATTGCACCGAACTGAAGCTGTTCCTCGGCAAGGTGAGACAGCGCCATCCTGTCGCAATCAGTTGATGGCTCAACGTTACCACCCTACCCCCTTCTTTCCTTTCATCCTCTCACTAAAATTACTTTACATTCAACGCTGAAGCTTCGTTGAATCGGTTACGATCCCTTTTGCACGTTTTTTCACCGCCACAATGCAAGCATCCTTCGACCACTCTTTCGTTTCGATCAATCGACTGATCGAGCCGTAGGCCACGAACAATGGAGCTTGCGCGCCGCCCATTGGACAGCTAATGAAATTGTTTCCTAATTTGTGCCCACTCCACGCTTACAAGCTCTATTCCACAGCGAGAAGAAGGGTAACTAACATTGACATTCGACGTATTCGAGTTGTCTGTCCCGAGGTGCACAATTCGGATTAAGTGCACTCGAACATGGATTGCGTGCCGGTTTGAAAACGAGCTGCACTCGAGGGCTGGCTTGTTTATCGGCCACGGGGGAAGAATGATCGAATTTCACGCACGATGGGGATTTTCGTGAAATCGTGCAACGCGAATGGATTGTAACCTTTCCAGTGAATTTCAATCTAGCACCAAATGACAAAGATAATTGCGATATTTAATTAGTTCCCTTTTTTATTTTTTCTTTTTTTCAGTTTTGAGATTTATTGATAACTAGTTTCCTTATTTTTAATATTGTTTATTTAGAAATAGAATAAAATTAGTTGGAAATTCAATTATAGTATAATCTTACAATATTTATATTAGAAATGACATATATATACATTAAGCATTCGAGGAATTGGCAAGAGAATTAATTCCGGCAAAAATTGTTAACTTTTAAGAAAATAACTTATTCTAATAGCACGATGCAATCAATATTACAAGAAATGATCTGTCTTGATTCTATACGAATAACACGCTGTGCATCAATTTTCATTTACTCGCAGAAATGAAATATTTAAAAAACCAACTTTATTTAATCCAATAAATTATATCTACAATTTCTCTCCCTCAAATCCGCAGTCAAAGCCCAATAATGAAACAGTCTACAGTCGAACGTTCAAGTTTCCAAGCCAGCGGAAGATTGATTTCTCCGGTAATCCGACTCGTTCCATATTCATTGAAATTCTCTGGTGAAAAATTAACAAACGAACACAGTTGGGCGAGTGGCACGGTAAAAGGTGAAAAGTTTGACGAGTTCAGCCAGTGATCGTCCTCCAGCGAACACGGCGAATTAGTTTGAGCCTCCGATGACAGCGGAATCATCCTTTGTCACGCGCGCGGCGTTTAACAATAATTATCTCGTGCAATTAACGGACCGATTGCCAGGCTGCGGCCGTTCCAAAAGTTTCCTCGTTATAAATAATTGCAAAATCCGCTGTGCCCATCCCCACGAAATCCCGCACCGTGGCGTCAAACGTTGCTCGCCCCGCAGGGACCAGCCAGATGCGATATCGTCGCGTGACCGGTCGTACTTTTTAACAAACTGGTCTCGTTGTTTCTTCGTCGGCCAGAACAGACAACGCTAATGGCGTACCTTGTGAGGATATCTCGTGTTTTGCTATTTGCGCGAAGCCCAAACGCCGGTTTAACTTGTTAATTGGGGAGCAAATTAAGTTTCGTGGAGTCAACTCGTCACCCAAGCAGTTAATGTCTTGAAAGTAATAAGTTACTTATCAAAGAATCACTTGATCTATAGCGCATCGGAATATTCGTATGGAAAATGAGAGAAACGCGAGTTAATTTGTCTCCTGCGTTGTCGATATTTTGTGTATTTATAGAAAGTCAGAGAAACGTTAAGTTTCGTGCAATTTGAATTCGGCACACAAGACTTGTACAATTCTGTAGATAATATTTGTTAATTTTTCTACGATTAACAGGTTTTATCATCGAATTGCGATTGACTCATCTACTTTTTCATCAAATCATCTTGTACGTATTGTACATTTCACGCACATTTCTGTGCGTTTTTATCACATTCCACTTGAAATTAGACTTTAATCTGAAATTGTTGAACTTCCCTTCAGTTCTCATTGTTATGATTTATACGACAGAAAAGAGAAAGAATTTATTTAAAGTTTCATTTGCAGGAATTGGTCTAAACTAATTCAAACGTTGTAAAATTGATTGAACGTAATTAAAGTATAAAAATGTTAAATATTCCTATGTCCCTTTGATGTCATCAAGATTTTAATTAGATATTTTAGTAAATGAAATACAGCACGGGAAAGGAAATATAGAATTAATATTAGATATTTCATGTTATTTATAAAAGATCGTTGAAATAACGAATTTTATTATTATGTAATATTATTCGTTACGTATAAATGCAATATTATCGTTCAAAATCAATAATCAACATAAAATTAAAACAGTAACTTTACGTATAAATGTGTTAACAAATGCCAGAAATAATACAACCGCTGTCAAATCTTTTCGAAAATAGTTGGAAAACGTTTCTCGCAAATCGAGTCATATGAAACCGTACCCAGGCGAATCCATTTAAAACGTATATATTTCTTGCCGTGAGAATTGATTTTCTGCCAATTCTTTTTATCTATTTTTCGATTATTATCTCTCAATAGGACAACAAATATACCCTTTACCAAATTAACCTGGAAACCAATATTATCGATCTGACTCAGAAAAAAAAAAAAAAAATAGATACAACAAGGCTCATAAATATCCCGACACTTTAGCCAATTATTTGGAAACATTTGGTATATGAACGTTAATGAAACACATATAGCAAATAATATCGATCATAGGAAACTTGACTCGACTCAAATAACCTTACCTCGTTCTGTTTAAAATTTAACTTGCATCTACTCTTTTCACCGTCTCCAGTGTATTATAAATTATCGGGGCCGTCCAAGATCGATAGTACTTATCACTTGACACGATGATATGGATCTCGAACAAATTACCCGGCCAATAATGGAGCGTGGCTATAGGAACGTTAATGTAACGAGCATCGACGAACAACAGCGAACGATGACCAATTGCAATTTAGATCGGCTCATCAATGCGATACAAACGTAATATCATTAAATTTCGTAATAACAACGCGCCACCTTTGCATGGTATCAAAATTACGCGTTGTGTTCGTTACACAACGAAGGCACGCGCGCGCGCGCAATGCATTTCTAAAATAATTGGTGTTCGTATTATTATGAAGTAACAATGGGAAGCATTGACAGTTCGAGCGTGATGCACACATGGAAAATTCGTCCTTTAACAAGTTGTTTCGTGTCTGCGATCGCGCGATTACAACAAACCATATCGATCGATTTTTGATAACATGGTAAACAAACAGATACCTACGTATTAATTATGAAACGTTTAATAAGAATATTGTACGAGCACGTCGCAAAAATTCATTTCCAGATGATACGATATTCGTTGTTATCGAAAGCCGTTTGATCCAGATTATTCTCATAATCATACGGATTTAATTGATCGATTCTTAATTGATGACACGAAATTGAACGGTGTGTCGCGTCCAGCCCATCGTTTATACGTTTTTCGTCCAATTCGTATAATTTTTTCTACATCGACGCGTTAATTTAAAAAATTGTCAGTAATTGCTGTTGAAATATCACGTTTTACATTTTACGTAGCGGATTTTCCGAATTTCGCTTGATACGTAAATCTGCTGCTCGAGAACGTCGCATGAATATAATTGGATACGTTTGGAAAATTCTATCGAGTATTGTATCGAGCGTTTATTTCCTTTCGTTTTCTTCTTTTTTAATACACGATGTTAAATGAATAAGCTCGTATAATTTATTATTAATCGTAACAGATATGCGATCAGAGAAACAACATTGTAAATTATAAATTAGTAAGTTTCACGATAAATACTCTACGTAAGATACTATTTCTATATTTGTACACAAAATGTCTAGAAATAAATTCTAATGTTTATTAATTAAATGTCCAATACTAGAAATACAGCAACAAAAATTGAACAACTTCATTTTGGCCAATTTTAATCCTTCACGTACAATTTTCAAAAGAACTTTACGTCAAAGGAAATATCATTCTACACTGACGACGATATTTATACAAAATATCGCTTCTTGTTTCCTCTGCTTCGCGCTAATTGTTGTCATTTCCACTTATACCGTTCTGGTCTCGAAATTAGGCACACTTTTGCCGTAATAATACATTACATAGAAAATCGGACAACTAAACATCAGCCATTTGGCAAAGGATTAATAGTAATGGTCTCCGTCGCCACCGTGTTCGTGGCCAGAGCCTCTCGAATAGGAGCTGTAGCTTCCGTAAGAACTATGTTCACCCTCTCCGTCCGTGTAGCTTTCACTATGTCCATAACTCGAAGATTCTGGTCCATGAGCCATATAGTGAGCGCCATCTTCGTGAGTATAGCTCCCGTGATCGTTGGCTTCAGCATCGTGTTCTTCGCCACCGTCGTGATGATCGCCCTCGTTGGTTGCATAATGGGCATCGACGATGGTATCTAGCGAAATTTATAATATAATCGATACGGAAACGTGGAATAACGTAATTTAAAAATAAAGTAATTATCGTAAAAAATTATCTCACATTATATTTTATTGTTAGAAATATATTCCAACCAGGAGGATTAAAAATATCGTATTAGTAAAACTACTGTTACGTTACTCTGCACGATTTATCTTTCAGTGTAACTAACTGTTATTGAAAAAATATACGCTAAGAAATTTGTAATTTAAAATTGACATAATTATTATAGGATAGTTTCTGCCAGCAATAATGAAATTTATAGGTGTAAAGGATCGGTGGTTCCAAGTGATTAAATGACATGTTTCTGTGAAGTAATTAGCAAAATGGCTGGGTGCCGCCGTCAAAATTAGGACGAAACGAGCGCATGAATGCGTTCGGTTAATGTCGTTATCTCGATGGTGTAGTTTTATTGGCGATCGATACTCGAGCCACTAAGTTTGCCAGGGAAAACTTGCGATCGACGTTCATTAAAGGATCCCGTGCGACTAATGACACGGATATATCGTGCGAAAATTATTTACGGTATAAAGAAGAAACTTCCTCGAGCTCAAAATCTATTCAAACTTGCCAACTATTTCGTTCGAGTAGATTAAAAATATTATACTAATGGAGCTACTACCATGTTAGTTTCCTTAAGCAAATTTCTCAAGCAAATATCACTCGATACCGATAATTTTATTCAGAAACGTAGATACGTTTAGTATAAGTAATAACAACGTGCATATAGCAAAATAAGAAATCGCAAATCTATTATTGCTATTACGCACACTTTATATATTAAAATGCAATCATTTGTACGGTTAGAATACACTTAATAAATAAAAATTTATCTTTTGTTCATGAATAAAGTTACGTATATCTCTAAGCAAAATTAATCACCTACGTCAAGGATATCATCGGATAGGTTAATAAGCTGGTTCTGCGTGACAAGCAGTTTTTGAGTGACGTAACAAGATCAGACATGGATTAAACGCATATATGTATCAGGTGTTTCAAATAACGTCACGAGCTGTGTATACCTTCGCTTCGAACAAGGAAACTTTTGAGCGATTTTAACATATATTCTTATGCTTTTGATTTATTTGATTTTGTTTTATTTTTACTAAAAAACATTTTCTATGTACCGCGTATAAAATTTGTTCCAACTCGTTAAAATCTACTTTTACTATTGAAATTACAAGAAACGAATTCCCCCACATATTAGATTTTGATTTTGTTTCTATGAATCTTTATAAAAAAAATTATCACAGTGCTTTGTTCTAAAATAACAATGCACGATATTTTCTTGATTATAACTTCGATTAATTTTTTAATTTTTTAACTAGGAAACCTCGAAGGAACGATATTCCAGTTGCTACATTTGTACTAAATCAAAAATTCTATCTCGAAGCCAGTAAGTTGACAAGAAACTAATTTCACCCAGTATGCTTTATGGTTGTCACGCAATTACATGCTCGACGTCGTACAGTTTCTCTGTACCTGCACCCTCGTGATCACCGGCTTTCCTGGAACGAGAGGCTGCCTCGTCGTTGTGGCTACTTTTCTTGTCAGCACGCGCTTTGCCGTAGGCAACGTGCTTCTCGAATGCGTACTTGTCGCCATCCTGCTTGTGGAAGGTGTCGAGGCTCTTATAGCCGTGATTGCCCTTGCTGTAGGTTGCCGTCAAGTAACCCTTCTCGCCCTCAGCGTCGCTGCCGTACGTTTTGTAGTATCCTCCCTCGTCTGATTTGCCTAAAACCACGGTATCGTTCGTGCTGGTTATCATCCACGATATCCGTGACCGCTCGAGTGGTTGTTCAGGGACCGTTTCCCAATCTTTTTATCCCATTTGTTTCTTGATTCGAGAAATGCTAATTTAAAAATTCCAGTACGATGGGAATAAGAACACACGTGTTCGTTGTTCATAATAAATTTCGAATGCAGGAAAATAGGGGCTAAAGAGCAAATAAAAATACATGGTACAGTATACTCGTACTATACACGCATATTTATGGAATTTCATATTTTTATTAATATAATTACGGAAATAAAATTTCACGTTGTATATTTTTTATATTTTTGCATATTCTGCACTTTTCACAGTTTTTTATAAATGCATAAAAATCTATAGCTCGGGAATTAATATTGCGAACGAAAATATTTTGTAAATTGCTTGTTCGCTGACAGATTCGTATAAACGCGTGTCACAGTAAATGATTAAACTTTAAAAATACTGAAATTCGATGGGAAGTAACATACCAGACGCATTCTTCGCGCCCTTCTTGCCAGTTTTCTCTTTCTCCGGCGAGTTTCCCTCTCCGAGTAAATCCTCGACTTTCGTGGCGAAGGTCGACCATGCCGGTTCACGGACGTCTCGACGCAACAACTCGTCCACACTTGCGTCGTCGTCGCGATCTCCAGCTTCGAGCGAATCGCGACAGACGAGAAGGAGCAACACAACGACCGGTCCACGCCACATGCTTCCGATGCTTTCGATTCACCGATATCGATGTCGATCGTTTGTTGGTAAACATCGGCAGAGGCTGCTTTATCCAGCTCCTCCCACTCGGTTCTGTCGCGAATTTTCTTCCAAGCAGAAGGGATATCGGAAGGCAGAAGGCAGATGCCGGAGATCGAAGGGATTTCGCAACGATTTCGAAGATTTCACCAGTCGATGGATCTCGGTGGTACCGCCGCTTCGAAAATCGACGCGTTTCGATTGGCAAAATATAACGATAGATAGCAAGTGAGGGGTTTTAAAGTTGATGGAATTAATCTGAAGCCTTTTCGATTGAAAGTCAAAGTGGATGACGAAATGGGCAATTTTAGTGATTGAGACGAGTATTTTCGTTTAATGTTCACGTTGAGTAAATTGATTTAAAGGTACTTGATTAGTTTAGTTATATTGGTTTAAAGTGGTTCTGTGAGCTATACGAACGTTGATACGTCCCGAAATATCCGCGTGTTGCAATTTTATGGTTTAGTTCGGAAAATATTTTGGACCATTGTTCTTCGTCCTTAAAGCTCTAAAATACCTGTCTGGACTGATCGGAAGATCCCGTTGACGTTTAAGAATTCGGGCTATAACGTGTTGCGAATTAAACCGTTCATTTATCTTTTAAAAAATGTATTGTATATCCGCTTGCGTGAAGAGTTGCCTTTTATCATAAAAAAATTGGATCATTTTCATGGATAAATGGAAGAAAAGTTTGTAGATTAAGAGATCTTAGTATGCCGAAGGTACATAAAAATTTCCAAATTCTATTTGGAAACCACTTGCTCCGACAAATCGAATCGCTATTCTTCCAACGACGAATTTATATCTTCGTCGACGCATTTATCTTTGATCGATGAATTCACGAGTCGAAGGATAACGATCGATAACTCGGACAAATCGCGCCACGTGCCGCACGACCGATTTCACGCTTTCCATGATCACTGGAACGAAACGTTGGCGTCGAGATCGTATCGATCGCGGCACAATCGAGTGACATAACGGTACTTGGGAACGTTGGCCCCGCGAAAGCGTTTTGGTTTTTGCCCCTCGGCTAAAGGCGGTGTTCTTACGCGAAATCGTTTCTCGATCAGCCGCGTTATCTCATGCCTGTTACCGAGACGTTTCAGTTAGTCGATTGTTACGCGAAGTACATAGAAGGCGCGCGATTGATCGTTTCTTCAACGTTTTTGCCGACCATCTTGCCGGATCGCTGAAAATTATGTAAGCGAAACGAATACTAGAAACTTATATTGAAATTGCATTACGACTACTAGTGTAATATTAGCTGTAAGACACTCTTAAGTGAAAACAGAAGAAATCGATCGGAGAAGACGTGAATTAATAACAAATAGAATAATAGAATAACAAAAGATACTTAGTTACTCGGTGATAAATCAAATAACTGTAATATGGAAGAAAAATGAAATTTATATAACATTTTTACAAATTATCTTTATTCTTAAAACCATCCCCTAGACAAGGATGCGTGAAATACAGCTATTATACATTTTCCGTAAAATTACATTACCTGATCTCACACCGTACAATCAACAACGCTAAATGATTTGATTACTTAATTACATACGTACACGATATAATTATTACGTATAATAATTTGTAAAATACTGTAACGCGTAAATGTTAAATGTTTCCACTTGGAACGCGTAGGAGCCCCATATCGGCGCCTTTCGACGATATTTGGCGAAGTAAAAAGTGTCTTTTCGCAGTGAATAAAATATCTTTCGCGTTGTAAGGAATCCCAGGTTTTCATGATGGAATCTCAGCCATTCGATTGGACTTGAAACGTGATTCTTCTTCTCTATTTAAAAAGAGCGAACACGTCGGAGGAGGCGTCGATATAGTCGAGCTTAAAACCGCAAGCGAACGCTAAGCGGCCTGGATACCTGCCACGCCAGCTACTTTCCATCCAGATAATCCAGTAATTTGAAAATCTGGAATGGAATGTAACTCCGTGGTATTGCTGGAAGTCTGCGCCGCGAGGATTCCTCTTCTTTTCGTGCCTTATTGTCAACGTTGAACTCGACGAGGATGTGATGGATTAGGATGGAAAGGATAAAGGAAATTAACCTAATTAATTTTGAGCTTTAAGCAGACTCCGGTAAAAGCGTTGTCTAGCGTTTGAGAGATTTCAAACGTGCAGAGATATTAGGGAATTCTAGGAGCTCAGTGGGATACACAGAAGAACGTGAAAAAATTTGTGAAGATAAGAGGTCTAGACGAGATTGAAGGAGCTTGTTGGAATTTAGGATACGGCAGAATTAGGAAACATAAGAGACTTGAAATCGTGGAATTTCGCGATATTAAAGTATTTGGAGTATTTGGATTCGTAGAGGATCTGTTTAGAGAAAAGCGTGATGCGTATGCAAATTTCTACCTCGAATATCATATCAACCATGAGTACTTATTGTCAAATAGTTTAAATAATTTAATCGTTTATCATTTTTCTGCTTATTACCATTGGCTTGTTATTTCTTGGAGAAATCTTGACGGTTCCTGATTCACCTTTTAACCCATTCACGATTCTTATTCTGTATCGAACCGTTATTTAATTGTATTCTTTTTTCGTATAATTTGGTCTTCGATTTTAGTATATTATATTTTTTTTTTATAGAACCATTAATAAAAAAGCAATCTTTCTCTTCAACTAAATAACAATCCGATTCTACAAGGTTTAATAGTATTCCAAACAGAGAGATTCGACGCAAGCATACAAACTCGATAGCCAACTGTATCGACGCAAGTACATACCAGACGTTTTAATATATTCGGCGCCGTAGCGCCGAGTATCGACGTACTTGTGTCATTTCAGGTATAAGTATTGCGGCATAATTCATGACTTCGTCTAGTTCAACGATTCAATAACGAAGATAGACGAGTATTTACGATCAGTTGTTATTTCAAAAATGTTTGTTAAAATCCACATTGGTAATTCGACGCACAAAACGAATTTTCAACTTGAACGCGTTTACGCGCTTCGAACGTGAATATTCGACATTATATATTACAGCAGCAACCGACTGAAATAAATCACGAACGACGTTTACATTTAATTTCATTATACCGAAACGTACTTAGCTGTTTTAATAAAGAGCCCGTGAAAATTGAGACTCTTTGTTTTCACCGCGTTACGCATTCCGCAGACATTTCGTTCCTTTTATTTCCGGGCTGAGCGTGCTGTTTTTCAACGCGCGCTCTTTGTTTCGATTTTTTACTTTTATTTGGATCATTAACGGATTCGCGTTGGTTTGCTCACTTAGCGCTTTAAGTAATCTCTCGTAGAAGTTTATTTTGTAACTTTTGTTACGCTTTGCGTTGGAATATCCAATAGGTATGTATCAAAGTATAAATAACATTTAACCGTGTTCTCTTTCGTATAATCAGCATATTTGGCGAGCCTATAAACGAATAGAAATTGTCAACCTCCGACAATTTCACTGAAATTAGTTTTTATTTATACATTTTAAACGTATCTGTGTTAAAACGCTATGTATTTTTTGAGGTATAGTATAATATGTCACACCAGAAATGGGAAAATACGTAAATAAAAGAATATATACTATCAGTATAAAAATGCAAATATAACAAAGTACAAATTACAAAACATAATAAAATAGCTGTAAGACGATGTAGAAATTTCCAAATACATATGTATTTATGAACATATCCTATAGAACCATTTTTATACAACACCCTTTGATTTAGAAGTTGTTTCGTCGAGGAAACTACGTGATGCTATTACCATGCCAATTTTATTTTCAAATCATATTTAATAAGAACGACGAAGTACGATAGCTTTTGACGAAGAAACATATAAAGGCGAGCAATTGGAGTGTAGAAGCGCGTAGAAACGCGGACAAAGAACGCGCTGATTAATGGGTATCCTTTAACGGGCCCCGAGAAGAGGTCGAAGCGGAACGAACCCTTCATGGCAAACTTTGATAAAACCTCATGGTTCAGTGTGAAATTTACATCAACATATTGATGACGTTGACTATGGAAAGAAATTTATTTTTGTTATTTATATTTGTCTTTATTTGAACGCCTGAAGATTGATGGTAGTGCATTTTAAATGCAATCATTTTGCAAAGAAAATGCATTCAACTGATTCTCGTTATTTTCGCTCGCTCTGGTTGCTTTTGTAGACAGACTTCATACATCATTTTGTCGTAGTTGCTACTTACAACGAGTCAACAGACGCTTTATTGGTAGTTTTTCATATATTTATGTTTGAATTTTTATCACAATAACGAAATACAGTATATTAAACTTTTAGATATAGTACTTTCAAACATGTATTAGCTACTGATCTGAAATTAAATCTTCTCCTTTTGTATAGTTTTAAAATAAGGACATTCTCAAATTGATGTCCAATTTATAGACAAATTGCTAGGAAATGTTTCAATAAGAAGAGCAATTGGAAAATGTCAGTATATCATATTTTCTGATTGACAAAAACTTTTTTATAAAATTACACTAACATTTTTTTCCCTGGTTTGTATCTCATTATCGATGTATTTTATTTATCTTTGATATTTGTCATCCTATCGTTATCCATTACTTCCGTTCCTATGTATTCATTGCATCAGGGAAAGATTAAAGTAGATGTAGGAATAAATGTTAGGAAATAAAGAAGAATATTTTTGCAGAATATAAGGGGAATAAAAAACCAAGGTGTAAAGACCTTTTGCTGGTTTACAACGTTCAACTTTCATCCATTCAATTGCGACGTTTTCTCTTGGATTTGATAACGCAAACTTTATAGCGTACGTTTAAAGCGAGGTTAAACAGGAGATACTATTTACGCGGTCCTAAAAGGTGCAACCGTAAAATTTCACTTCTCCAAGAATCTTATCGTCGCCTGACGGAAGATAGATTTTTTAAATTTCTTCGAAAAATAGTTTCGTTTTGCTCACGAAATAGCACAATTCATGAATCGGATTATATAAGTAGTTACGAAGTTTTCGAATTGTTTTTTATTTTTTATCTTATTATATTTGATCTCTACGTTTATTTCTCTCTTATCAATCTCTCGTGCAATATATCATTCCTTGGTGAAATTTCTTTGATGTTCTCCGTTTCTTAATGTGCATACGTAACTAAACAGTGTCCAGAGAAGTTCAGTAAACAGCTTTGCAATATACGAATGCGGTTGAAACTGCGAACATAGTTTCCACATGTTATGGTCTACCTTGACAGCAACTCTGCTCGATGAAAACGAACACTATATTCGCCTAATGCACGTTGCTACGGCCTCAACGTATGTTCGGCGATTTACATACTTATGCACTATTTTGCGATAGCACGCATTACGTTAAAGCTAATTTATGTGTAGTTCACGCGAGAATTGTTTTTCTTTTTGTTTTTTTTTTTGTTTTTTTATTAAAATGTATCTGGGAAAATAATTTTAATTTAGAAAATGCGAAAAGATACACAGTGGCGAGTATATAAATAGGAACAGTCTTTGCAGTAAATTTACTTAATTTACTTAGTAATTATCGTACTATGTAAAAATTTGTGAGCCGTTCTATGTTTACAGTGCTCCTAAAATATAAGAAATGTATTTTTAGATACTATATTATAAGAGAAAATAGAAATAAAGTTTTGCAGAATATACATTTTGTTGCATTTATACAGTTTTCTCGCATTTGTACTTTGATCACTGTACATTATATAATAGATCATGTCTGACTGAATACGGCCCGAGTCTTATTCTACTTGAAGTCGCATAACTGTGAATTGCACTGTTTCTTTCACGTTCTTTCAGATAATAACATTGTTCTTATGGTTCTTTCTCACGTTATTTGCATTCTATGGTTAGAATGCTTCGAAGTAAAATAATATATTTTTAAAAGATACAAATAAAACTATTTGTAGTCACGGCTGAAACACAGAAACTCGAATAAATATTATAATAGCTTCAAGCTTGAAGTTTATTGACACGAAGTTACATATTTCCCAACCTTCGTACTAAAATATTTGAGTTTTCCAAGAAAATATTAAAAAAGACAAGTCTTCGTATGAAACTGTAATAGATACATAATCGTTTCTTTGAATATTTTGAAATTCTGTAAAAACAAGTTTCGCATTAGCAACTATAATTTTTCGAGATAATTTTCCACCATTATTTATTTCAATTCGAGGTTAGTAAAAATTATCGAATTCGACATAATTTTTTTCTCACCGATGATAAAGCTATAACAACGATTTAAATTTATATATTAAAGACGATATAACAAAGACATGTAAATCACGGAGACGTTTAATCAGTATTTCGCTTCAAGTTTTTGCTCCGTGATACATTATACGTAGATAACGTGTCCATGATATACGACGTGGACAGTGCAGGAAATCAGAATCGATATACGAAATTTCTAGTCATTTAAATCCAAATTTCTCCTAGTAAAGCGTAATACTACGTCGAACCAATCGCTCAGAAGAGATAGCAGCCAACAGCAGTAAAATACCAACTTTTACTTCGAGTAACGCATATCCAGCAGAAAATAGATTTCGCTTTTCGCTAATCTCAGTGCCATTGCGATTGCAGTATTATATCATTTGCATGAGCATTACGTATATATAGAATTAAATTCACATCCATATCAAAATATTCCACACTTCGAAATGGATGCCAAGAAAATGATTAAGTTCAATTTTACTGATATCTTGCTTTGAATGTAAATTATAAATTTTTAATTTTAATATTTAACAGAACGTTCAATAATATCACTAACGTTATCATGCATCTACATTAATACATACAATTAAGTATTAAATACAATTAAAGTTATTAAATCTTTTTGTCTCTTTAAATATTACCGCAGTCTAATTATACAAAATGGTTTACTTTGATTATTTTTTATACCTCTGCATTTCATCCACGTCCTATATATTCTTGAGTATTAAAATTTCTCATAAAAGCGCAAACATCTGCGGTCCAAGTATCTGTTTATTCGTGAAATGATATATCATCTTTTATTTCTTTTTTTATTATCCTGAGATTTTTGTCGTCTTTTGATCGTTGATTCGTGACAATTTAGCGGTGGTTAGAAAGCACAGATTTAAAGATTTACGGGAATGAATTGAAATTGTTATAGTAACATCCCCTGAAATGGTCAGGCAGGAAGCTCTTAAAGCTTAATTGGATTCTGAAGGAACTGGACGGGATGTCGTAGCGTTTCTCGAGGTATCGATTTCAGCTCGTTTTATAGGACGATGTCACGCGTAAAACGTTGAATATCGAGTTTCCTGGTTGGAGATTGTTTCTTGCCGATTGATCGTTAGATTGCGCTGAGAATTGCAAAGATAAACGTAATGTCGTCTATTTATTTATTTACATTGCATTTAATAATATTTATGGAACTTTATGATACATTATCGAACAATATATAAAGATATAGTACATGCAAAATACATAGAATACAATATACGAAAATGAAATTTAGTTTTAAATAAAACGAATTGTTCAC